GGAAAACTCGAAGAAGAAATAAATCACGATTGGTTTCATACACTCATCGATTCCGGGGAATTAGTACCTACGAGATTTTTCAGGTATAATACCAAAAATATTCAAAGTATGTTACGAAAGAGAGGTAAAATCATTCCTCCAAACAACAAGTTCGTTTCTGCTTGAGTCTCTGGTATCTAAGAAATCCCCACTCATTAAAGAATAAGGATATTTTTGCAAAAAAGGGTATAGGATTTATCGTACTGAAGCACCCCTAAACGGAGATTTGTCGAGCAATCACATGCGGGGAAATCAAATCCGATGATGATGGTGATGAGGAGGCGTACGAAGTTGATAATTATAATGATCAACCCATAGAGGCCAAACCTGCAATAGAAGAACTTGAAGTTGGTGGATAGGAAGCCACTATGGATGTGCTAAAAGAAGTCAATTTGGGAACTGAGGACCCTCATCCAACTTCATTAGTTCCCTCCTACCCGAAGAGCAAGTGGAAGAAATAAAAGAACTCTGTGAATTCATGGACTGCTTTGCCTGGACATATGCTGAGATGCTTGGCTTATCCCCTGATATGACAGTTTATAAGTTAGCCATCAAATCAAATGCAGCACCCATCAAACATGCTCCGAGGAGAATAAGATTTGAGATAGAAGAGCAGGTGATTGTAGAGACGAAGAAGCTCATATAAGCGGGATTCATTTGTGAAGAGAAATATGCCAACTGGATCACCAATATTGTCCTTGTTAAGAAGAATAGTGGACAGATTCATATATGTATTTACTTTCGGACCTCAACAAGGCGTGCCTAAAAGATGACTTTCCTCTTCCTGTATCAAAACTCCTAGTGGACAACACTTCCAACTATAACATGTTCTCATTTATGGATGGATCATCGGGATACAATCAAATCAAGATGGCGCCTAAGGATGAAAAATATACATCATTCAGAACACCCATCAGCATTTTCTGCTATACGGTCATGCCCTTCGGCCTGAAGAACGCTAGTGCCACATATCAATGGGCAATGACACGTATATTTGATGAGCTAATACACATGAAGGTTGAGTGTTATGTTGACGACCTGGTTGTTAAGAGCATGGATCGCAAATACCACCTAATTGATCTAAGAATTATATTTGAGAGAATCAGAAAGTTTGATCTGAAGATGAACCCTCTCAAATGTGCTTTTGGGGTCTCCTCCAGCAAATTCTTGGGGTTTGTTGTTGGTCATCGGGGCATCGAGATCGATCCCAACAAAATCAATGCAATTATGGTGATGCCTCCTCCCAGAAACCTTCGATAACTCCACTCATTGCAAGGACAATTAGCTTTCATTTGACGATTCATATCGAATCTATCAGGTAGGTGCCATCCATTATCCAAATTAATGAAGAAAGACATTCATTTCGAGTGGGATGAAGAGTGCTAGGAAGCATTTGACAGCATCAAAAGATACTTATTGAATCATCTCATTCTTGCGGTGCTAATGCTAGGGAAGCCTCTTATACTGTACACGACAACACTAGAAGAGTCCCTCGAAATATTATTGGCCTAATACAATGTAGAAGATAAGGAGAACACATTCTACTACATCAGTCGAAGATTGATTGGAGCAGAAATCCGTTATTCTTCAATTGAGAAGCATTACCTAGCATTGATTTTTGCAGCATAGGAACTCCGCCACTATATGCTCTCTCACAAAGTTACTTTGATATCAAAGATCGACCCACTGATGTTCCTGATGATAAGGCCAGCGTTGACAGGTTGTTTAGCCATGTGGGCAGTAATACTATTATAGTTTGATATCACGTACATGCCATAAAAGGTGGTGAAAGGGCATGCCTTGGCAGATTTTCTCGCCGTGCATCCTATCTCAACAGACTCTCCACTCAACGATGATTTACCTGATAAGCAAATTATGCCGGTCGAGGAAGAGGAGAAATTATAATTTTGGGAGATGTATTTTGACGGGGCTTCCTCAATTAAACCTACAAAACCTCCGAATATTGCAAGAGCCTGAGCCGGCATTGGTCTTTTTTTCATAGCACCTAAGGGATGCATAATGAGATTTTCATTCAGCTTGATTGAACCTCAGACTAATAATGAAGCCTAATACGAAGCTCTAATAGCAGAACTGGAGATCACGGTCGATGTTAGAATCCAAAATCTCCAAATTTTTGGTGATTCTCAAAATGTGATAAATCAGGTCCTCAGCATTTACAAGGTTGGCAAACTTGAATTGACCCATTACCACCGGCGAGCTCTTGAGCTTATGAAGAAAGTGTCAAATGTTAGAATAGCCCGAGTTTCTTGAGGTCAGAATTCCAAAGTAGATTGCCTAGCCAAATTAGCCAAGGATGTGGCGAACATTAACGAGGAGATGCCAATACCAATTATGGTTCATGGCTGTCGGGTCTTAGAGCCCACAATCTTACAATTCCCGCAAACAAAGGGAATACTATATTCAAGCCAGCATGATACAATTTCAGTTGATCCTCAATTTCCCCAATAAATCACTATTGAAGATCAACTAGAAGAACGCCACGAAGTCAAGAGACGTAAAACCAGCAGGTGCTCAGAGTCGTGACTACATTAACTCAACACGCCATAAGATAGGCCATTGTGGAGGAACCCCCATCTCAGTAACCAGAGGATGAAGAGTTATCAAATCCTAGTTCTTCTAATATGATGAATTCAAGTAACTCAGATTAAGGTCTCCTTAACTAGTTAAGTATCAAGATACTATCCACATTTGGTAGTATGAACCGAATCCGAAACCTACAAATCCTTCAACAAATCCGTAAAGCACAAGGTGAGGATCAAATGAATTGTTCTTCAATAAGTTCACCAAAGCACAAAGCAAAAGACCGAAGAAATTATCTCAAAGTTTATGAAAAGCTTAAGGCTGAACTAAAAGAATCTCAAATCTGTTATGCTCAAAGCTCTGGACTGATGACTTCTTGCCATTAACGTAATATAAACCTAAAGGGTTTAGGTCACCAGCATCTACCCCGTTATCAAGCCCGCCAAAGCTAGAAGCAAAGGGCAGAAGGCATCAAAATTCCTTGACAAGTCAAGAAAAGACAAATCATGTTATCCTTCACCAAGTCTGTCGCACATAGCACGAGGCAAAAAGGAATTAAAATCTTAGGACCAAGCCAAAGCCATGGAAAAAGTACCCTGGATGACATCTACAAATGTCCCTAAAGACTGAGGGGTATTTTAATTATTTATTTGGTTCGACATCGTGTCGCATGCCAAGATCCCCAAATAAATATTTAAAATTTTGTCAAGATACAACCAGATGATGAAAGAATGTTAATCATATACAGAAAGGTTATAAACTAAAGTGATAGTGGTGCAAAAAGAAGAAAAGAAAGTGGTAGTGCTACCTACAATCATCAATCTACAAAGTAACACTCTAGGGATCTGAGTATGAAGTACTCTGTCACTAACCCATGGAGTTCTATTTAACCAAAAGCAAATATATCAACTATATTGAAGATTATAAATGCATCTAAAGATCTATGAAGACACAAAGATGAGCTCTTGGAAATCTACAGAATGAAAATCTTAGTATGACATCCAAGCAAACTTTTGGAGATCCACTAAATGAAAATCTTAGTATGACATCCAAGCAAATTTTTGGAGGTCCGCTGAATGAAAACCCTAGTGTGACATCTAGAGAAAACATTCGAACATCCACAAGGTTAATCAACATACAACAAACATGGTTCGCTCTAGACGCATACCACATTTGTTGGGGGGCATTTATTGTCCTATGTACAAAGAACAAAAAAGGGAAGAAAGAAGAAATCCAACATATGCACCTTATACCCATCGGATCCTCGAAATCTTACTGAAATCGCGTCGATTCGACGTTGTTTCAGTCTCATCTCGCAATTTGTGCTCAAAACTGGCCTCGTTTGCTGCTCTTTGGCATTTTTAAAAGCCTACCAAATGAAGTCATCGCTTCCCCGTTCACTACTTCTCTTCCTTCCGCCTCTTATATGTCGAAGTCACACTTGGCCGACCTCCTCATTTTTTCGGTCCACAGAGCTTTACCTGACTCGACCTCCACTGCCTATGCCCCCATCCCGTCACCTCTGCTCTCCCCAATCGAATCCCACGAGCTGCTCTAGCTCGATCCTAGTCCCAACTTCATATAGCCGACTTTACCCTCCAAACCAAGATCTCCCCTACTCCTCATAATTGAATTCATCTCACAGCCGAACCCCCTGCTACCGAATCCATTTTCCTTCTCTACCATTCGCAAACCCGAGCCTCCATCTACCCCAGCCCAAGTCGCCTCTCAACCGACCTCTTCCCATACCTGTTCAAGCCAGCCGAACTACATCTCCGGGGACCATGATGGCCTGGGATGACGGAACCATGGGATCTTGATCGGGTCTATCATCCATTTCCCCACCATCCGCTTTAAGTGCATGGGGTGAAATTTCCATTTGAAATATCAATTTTTCAATCATTTTTGAATGCTCATGCTGCTACTATAACTAGATACCACGCATCTCTACGTATCTGATTGATGACTAGCCTTAATCGAAAGTTCTATCTCGTTATCGGAAGGGGTAATTAACTATAGGGGCTTTCATCTATAGGAAATCAGAACTCAGATCATAAAGTCCTCACAAAATGAGGGCGAAATCTCTGGGTAGTGTCTTATCTACAAACCTATTTGCCTTCCCAGAACTTAATCAGCTAAAACTTCCGAAAGGAAAAAGCATCAGCGGGCGGATCTTGGGGCCGAATTTTTGGAGCCCACAGAAAGGACTAGAGATTGAACCAAAATATCTTAATTAACATTTATTCATGATACTTTTCCTTTTCGGCTAAGCAATTGGTGACTGTTGCTTTCATTTTCTAAATGTTATTATTAAAGTTCCTGGGGTTCTTTAATTTTGATTAGGATTGATTTATTGCTTTCCTAAATTGCTTTAATTGCTATTCTTGGTCTCATCATAAACTTTCTTTCTTTTGTTTCAGATGATGTCATAATTACCGGGGTTCTATCTGCAAAATGGTCCTCAGATCTAAAGGATGTGCGTTGTGATCTTGATCCCCTGGTAATTGCAAATCATGTAAGGTAATGGGCCACAGTGTCTTAATATTTTTAGTGCATTCTACGTTACAACTCAAATATCAGTGAACCTTTTTTTGCGTTGAAGTACAATATCTACGTTAGAACTCAACTAGGAAAGAACTTGGTTATTATTTATCTTAAGTCCGTTAATTAATGAGCTAGACATAAACAAGCTTAAGCTTTTTAACGGCTGTAAAATCTTTATTTTGTTCCACTCATTTATCATTACATTGAAATTGCACTAAACCTGAATAATAAATCTGGTCGATGATCATCAAATGCATTAATACTTGTTCGATTGAGTTCTCCAATTGCATGAATAAAGGTTTTTTAGTTTTCATAGTACCTCATCCATCATAGAAATTAAAACATGGGTTCTCCATGAATTTAGAAATGTATTTGTTATCTTTTAATGATATAATGCATGTGCAAAAAGTGCACTTTACGCATGCATACACAGGTATAATGTGGGCTCCAAATCTCGCTCAACTTTTCTATGATTGTTTCTAGTTCCAAGTTAAATTTTTAGAAGGAAGATTGTATTTCCAATAAGTTGCTTCACAGAGATTTGGCACTTATTTTATAAGGATTTTATGATCTACTAGTACCAAGGATTCCATGGCTGTATGTTCGTGAGAGAAATTTCAATTAAGGCTAGTCGGTAGGCACTAAATGCTTAGCTTATAATAATAAAAATTTTAACTTTAGGATTGAGGAAATTTATCATGTTGAATTAAAAGTGGTTGGTGACGGGAATGATGAAAAAACTCGATCAATATGTTGTGATTCTGTTATCCTGGATTGTCATGGACCTTAGTCTTCTTATTCAATATAGTTAGTCAATCCAACTTGATTGATAGATCCTTATTGGTAGTCATGTGTTGCATTGTCTAGTGGTCCTTGTAGACTTAGGGTGAATATTTTCCTATAAGGGAAATTTTAAATCTGCCTTAATTAGCATTGAGTTATGTGCCTTATCAAGTGCACCTTATGATTCATAACCCAAAGAGGTTGAGCCATTGGAGAAAATTTTGGCTTTTGCTTTAGTCATTATGTAATTGTTCCATTTTGTGATGAAATCATGCGGCCAGAGGGTTTCAGTCATACTCGTTATCTGGTGGTGTTATTTAGAGTTGAAGTAATCTGATTGGAGAGCATGTATCATGTTCTCATTGGCGTGAGATCTTTGGAGAGTGATCCGACATTCACTTGATGTGACATTGACATCTTGTGAGTTGAGATTAACTTAAATTTGTCACCATTTCCAAACTATTATAGCTACTGAATGAATGTTTGCTTTAAACTTTGGGCTATATATTGCATTGCTTGAATATTTTTTTTGTATTGTGTGATCTTTTTTAAATGTTTTAAGATTTTTTTTTTTTTTGAGAATTTGGGCTCCAAATGAATTGCTTTAAGATTTGAGGATATTTTGGAAATTAAACCCATCTAGTTGGGATTTTCATTCATCATGACTATCATTGGGTAGATTGCTTGAAGTATTTGCAATCCGCATGCGAACAATTTGATTTTCGGCATGCTTGCATAAATTTCAAAGGGTTATATTTTGAATTGAGGTCTGCCTCATAATGCTCATCGAGGAATTGAAATTGTCCTACTTTAGAGTATTTGCGCAAATATATTATCATTAAAATGCACACGAAGTTTCATTTTAAGCATTAAAGGGTTGCATTTTGTTCACTTGCATTTATATTGTGGATTCAATTGCAAACGAGATGAGTTAGAATCTATATGTGTCTGTATTTTAGGGTGGTTGGTCCCACAGGAAATCTTTCTCTATCTTCAAAAAAGTATGTTCATATTCAATTCACTAAATGTTCTGATAGTTTTCAGTAGAGCGCTGAGAAGGTTCTCCATGTGCTGTTTAGCGAAAATCTCCTGTAAGTGTCATATTTGTATTCACTTACATTTGTTTAAAGTGGCAGGCTGTACACTTAGCATTTTTTGTGTTTGGAATTTATATTTTATTGTTTTATAATCCTTTTAATTATTTTAATTATTTCTCTATAAGGAATGTTTAGATAAAATTTTGATAAACTCTTAGCATCCCCCCTGTCTTTTCTGGGCATAGTGGCATCTTTGGGGACTGTTGTGCCTTCCCACCACTTATTAAAAAAGTGCATAGTCAGTGTTTAGGACATCGAGGTTTGGGGTCTTCAAAACTACCATGCTTAAAAAAAGGGCATGGGGTTTCTTGTACCTACTTAAAAAAAGGCACATGATAGAATATTTCCTCCGTGTTTATATGACATGATTGGATTATTAAGCCATCACACTTTTATGAGCATGCATAATTCTTTTGTAGTTGCATGAAGAAGGTTACAGCAAGCCTTCTCTGCTACATTGAAATGACGCATGAAAGTACTTGTATTTTTGTGGCACGACCAAGTTGCTTTTTGCATTTTTTGCTTCTACATGTGAAGAACGTAGTCACCAGTGATTTGCAACACGACAATGAGATGAGATTGTGACAAAACAAATAGTATGTATATATATATATATATATAGCCTCTTTTTGTCTTCATTTTTTGGCAACAATTATTACCCTTTTTGTCCTTTTGAAGAGCGGGGGTAGAGAGAGAGAGAGAGAGAGAGAGATTGAGAATGGTAAAAGTTGGCATCGAGCTTGGTTGGTTAGGATGAGGGAAAGACAACATAGTTGTTTCTGGAGGTGAGGATAAGCTTTTTAGTGGTTAGTGATTAGGAAGAGAGGCGAAGCAATCGTTGGAGTTGGGAGTTTGAGAGAGGAAGAGGCGACGAAGCAGTTTTTTGTTGTGGATGATATAGCGTATTGGCAGAAATTTTAGGGGCCGATATTAGGAGTCGTGAGCTATGGAGTGACATGATTATCACTGGCGAGCTAGTGGTGTTGTGGGTAGTTGGTGCATTGTGAGGTTCACAGATTTGAGGGATTGAAAGTGATGTTGGCCAGAGTATCAGTGGTTGGCGATGGTGTGGACCGGGGTTTTAGTTGGTCTTTGGAAGGTTATGAGGCAGAGGAGGTCTTCAGCTTGAGAAGAGTTCCGACTTTGCCTGAGGTTAACGAGTGAGACATCATGAATTTTGGGTTTGGAAAGGAAGTTGTGTGTGAAGGTTCAGAGGGAAAGGATGAGAGTTTGCAACTTAGTTTGGTGAAGGGCTTGTGGATTTGAGAGAGAGAAGGTATGTAAGAAGAGGTAGTCGCAAACGAGTTTTTTTCGAGGGAATGAGCAGAGAGACGTACGAGATTGGGATAGAAAAGGGAAGGAGAGAGCATGGTTGGGAGGTTGTGCTTGTGAGAGAGGAGCATTGGGAATAAGTTTAGATTTTAGATTATATTATTTTAATCTTGAAACAACAAGATTGGATGGCATGATAGTTGTGTGCTGCTTGAGAATGGGAGACATGGAGTTAGATTGGTGCTAGAGATTTGATTTGTGGGGGATTTGTTTTTTTTCTTATTATTTAGAAGGGTTTGTGTTTAAAATACATAAATAATTTAATGAGAAGGTGGAATTTATATATGAATCAACTCCTCCCAAGTTCTCATCATTCGTGCTCATCGAATTTGTGTTGAATCTTGTGTGTAGGAGAATTTTCGACATTTGTGCTGCGACCCAAGCAATGTCTGTCACCTTTATGATTTTTTTTTTCAATTTTCGTATATGTTGACACAATTTGTTTTGTGAAACAACCGATGATTAAGCGATTTTGATGTGTGCAATGTGTTTCGAGCCCGCTTTACATGACACTGTGTTTGTTGTTCACCACTTTCATCATATGCAATCCATTGTGGAGGCCCTTCTCAAGCAATCTCTATGCTCCTGGTGCAATTTGTTTTATGAAATGGGCGATGTTTAGTATAATTTCACTCCAAATGAGTTATCCTAAAGTAGTTTCATGCAATATCACGTCTATTGTCTGCAGTTCTTCGTAGTAGTTGTCACATTTGATCACGTTGTGTTTTGGAGCAAGTTATGAGTTCAACATACAAATATATGTATGCATATTTATATACGGAGATCTTATTGTATGGACATAATCAATTTCAAATTTATTCGTGTCCTAGATGTTAGTGAACGAGCTGAAAATCTGGTTCCAACTGGGCTAGTTTACTTGATGAATGAGCCATACATGTATAATTATGGAAGTAAATACAACCTATTTGTAGTCATCGAGCTTTTCTGAAATCCACAGTTTATACGAACATCTTAGTTGATAAAGATGATATTGCAATATTTCCTCATTTGACATTTTGTATCCATTCCTTCTTTTCGTATTGGTATTTTTTGCATGCCTTGGAATGAAAACAAGCCATTTTTAACTTACTTTATAAATCAAATTCAGCAAGTTATAGTTCTACTTTTACTCAAAGAAACGATTATGATGTTTTAACATAACAAGTGGTCTATTAAAGTTTATGTTACATTTTTTTTCAGGAGAACCAACGAATTAAAATCAGAAATTGAAATTCCTGATGATGTCATTAAAAAATTTGAGCAGTTTTGGTCAGATTTTAAGGATACTCCACTCAGAGGTACTAATTATGCACGTATCATGTTTTTCTTAAATAACGGGGATATCTACTTAGGCTTATGTTGTTGTGCATGTTATTACCATTGACCTCTCCCTTAAAAGATCCGAAACCGTTACATTATCTTTTTGGTTGCTGCTACAATTTTATATTTATCAAATGAGGCTTTTTTATATTTTTAGATGTCTGGAATAAAAAGAACATGCTTGCATGTATGAAAATAAGCTGCTTCTAAAATGTGGTATTTTAGGTAGGAATGCTATTCTTCAAGGAATTTGCCCTCAAGTTTTTGGTCTCTTCACGGTGAAGCTTGCAGGTATACAAAATTCAAATATATACGTTACAGTATTATCCAAATGTAATATATAAAATAGTAAAGAATTCCAATTGAGAGTTGGAGAAATTAATGCTCCGATATGGCATATTTTCAGCTTTTATGGATAACTTCTATTTCTTTTTTGTCTTTTATTAGTTTTGTGACTCATACATAGGCGAGATTAATCAAATTTTCCATTCGCAGTGGCTTTAACACTAATCGGAGGTGTCCAGCATGTTGATGCCTCTGGGACAAAGATTCGTGGGGAATCTCACCTTCTTCTTGTTGGTGATCCTGGTATTTTATTGTAAATTTTAGTTTCTTTACTTTGTTTTTTGATGCTGGTCATTGCTCATGTTCTTTGGCTTTGACCTGGAAAGTTCGTCAAGCTCCTGCCAATAATGATTGAAAGCTATTTTTTATGACATATTGTTAGTTTAGTGGTGGTAGTTGGCCCTAAAAAAATTATATATATATATATATATATATATATATAGACTTCTGTTTTATTAGTAGAATAAACATCTCGTTCCTTTGAATTCACCTATTCTCTTCAGCATTATTAATACTAGTTGCATATACAATTTCAAGATCTTTTAAGATTATTTGATCAATAAATAAAAAATTTTCTAACTGTTGATCTCAATTTCACAAGATATGCAATTTTCTAAGTGTGAAGTTTTTCAAATGGCCTAAATAATACAAAGACTGTTGATGATCTTCAGAGTGCAGTGGATGGTTATGTAATGTTCAACATTTTAACTGGGTTCTTAAGTCTTTCAATTTATTTTGTTACATATTTGGTGAATAAGTAAATAATTGTGAAAATTGATAAAATCTTGGAGAGATTGACTTATTTAACTTTACCCAAGTATTGCCAAGATATTGTGATGATAAATATCAAGTTTGAACATAGGTTTGACGTTGATGTCAAGATGCATTGTTGTTTACTGCTTTACTAGTTGGTATGACAGGAATTATTTTGCTTGCTTTTGATTTTTTTAGTTTATTTGTATAAGTTAACCAAACAAAGAGATATGAGTAGTAAGGATTTAGTTCAAGTGAAGTGAAGTGAAGTGAAGATAAAAAATTTCTTTTTTTAGAAGGTGATATTCAACAAAGGTGGATGAGATATTTTGCTAAACTTTTTAATGAAGAATGTAAAAATACGATTGACTTTACTGACTTTAGCACCCTAAATTAAAATAAAGATTTTTTTTTTTATCGGAGTATTAGTAAAACTGAAATTAGAGAGGTTTTAAAGAAAATGAAGTGTGGAAAAGCTGTTGGACCTGATGATATTCCAATAGAGATGTGGAAATGCTTAAGAGATGGAGTTTCTTGGCTTGCTAAATTTTTTAAAACTGTTTTGAAGACTAAAAAGATGCCATATGAGTGGAGAATGAGTGTGTTAATTCCTATTTATAAGAATAAAGGTGATGCACAAGAATGTGCAAATTATAGAAGAATTAAGTTAATGTGTCATACTTTAAAACTATGGGAACAAGTTATGGAGCGTAGGTTGTGGTGTCATACTAATGTTTCTCAAAATCAATTTGGATTCATGTCGGGTAGGTCTACTATGGAAGCCATACATTTATTGAGAGCTATGATGAAAAAATATAGAGAGAATTAAGAGAATCTACGTATGATATTTATTGATTTAGAGAAAGCATATGATAAAGTTCCAAGAGAAGTGCTATGGAGAGTTCTTGAAAAGAAAAGAGTTAATAATGCTTATATTCAAATCATTAAAGATATGTATGCACGAGCTATTACTTGTGTTCAAACACAAGGTGGTTTGACCAAGTATTTTCCTATATCGGTTGGATTACATCAAGGATCAGCCTTAAGCCCATGTATTTTTGCTTTAGTTATGGATGTTTTCACTAGACATTTGTAAGAGGATGTACCTTGGTGTATGCGTTTTGCTAATGATATTCTTCTTGTTGATAAGACTAGAGAGGGAGTTGATGGTAAAATTTAATTATGGAGGTCAATCTTAGAGTTTATGGGCTTTCGTTTGAGTAGATCTAAAACTGAATATATGGAGTGTAATTTTAGTAGCAATAGACCTAGTGAGGGAATTGTGACTTTGGGCGTTCTAGTCATTAATAAGAGTACACATTTTAGATATCATGGATCAATTGTTCAGAGTGATGGTGACATAGATGTGGATATTATCAATAGAATTCAAGTTGGATGATTGAAGTGGAGGAATGCATTGGGCTTGTTGTGCAATAGAAAATTCCCCCTCAAACTTAAGGGAAATACCTATAAGATGGCAGTGAGACTTGCAATGCTTTATGGTTCCGAATGTTGGCCATTAAAAGAGAAGCATAATACTAAGTTAAGTGTTGTAGAGATGAGGATGCTTAGGTGGATGAGTGACTTCACTCTTAGAGATGAGATACGAAATGAGCATATACGTGAAAAGGTTGAAGTAGCTCCAATGGAAGATAAGATTAGAGAGTGTCGCCTTAGATGGTTTGGTCATATTAAACGGAGGCCTTCCGATGACCCGGTTAGGAAAGTTGAGGTATTAGATTTGACTTATATTAAGAAAGGTAGAGGTAGACCTAAAAAGTTTTGGTTAGAAAATATTAGAAATGATATTTATTTATTAGATTTAAATAAGAATTTGACTTTTAACAGGACACAATGAGGAAAAAAGATTCATGTAGCCGACCCCACATAGTGGGACAAAGGCTTGATATTGTTGTTGTTGTTGTATTTGTTTCATAATGTTTATTTTTATATTTTAAGGTTTCTTTTGTAACTATCCCATTTTCTTCGTATAAATAAGATTGTAGTGCTTATTATTAAGAAGTGAAGAATTATTGAATTATTTCTTTTCAATGAATGCTCCCATAGTTTTCCCTTCTCTCACCAGACTTTTCTTTTCATGAAACAAGAAATAGGCTTAGAAAAAATGAGTCGAATTGGGTTATGAAGGAGATGAATGAAACCAATTTTTAAGCCTTTTGGGTATTTTTAATCTGACAGAATTTCTCTTATTTTTTGTCTGATTTATTTTATTATGTAAAATTATCTTCTTTTGAATAATATTATATTTGAATTTGATACCAAGATAGTATTTTTTTTTTTTTTTCATTTGGCATTACTTCATAAACCTATATCTATAAATATGAACTCTTTGTTTGAAATTGATCATTAATTTGTTGGCATAAAATTAATTTAAAACAACTCACTAACCAAACTCTTGCAAACTTTAGTCTGCTTTATGAAAAGAAAATGATCAAACATTTAAATTGTCATCAAAATGAATGTTTTACCGGAGACACATTTTAAAATTTAAAAGATTCAAGTAATTATTTACGCTTTAAATTTAGGTTATGATTTGGATTCAGAAGATTAATGTTGACTTTTCCTGAATTGAAAAATTCATATTGTACCATAGGACAGTATTACATTTTTTTTATGTGACTATTGCCAATTTCTAAGCTTCCAAAAGTAACCAAGATTATTTCTTGTTATTGGCAAGGACTAATTCTATAGCCGTCAGTTACCATGGTTTAACTCTTAGCAGAAACACCATAAAATTAGTCATCTTATTCACAAGCTAGAATCAATGGATTGGCCAAAGACATAACATCAATTACCCCTTTCTTTGATTTTTAAAATAATCCTACAAAGAAAAAGGAGAAGCTAGGTGTTCTAGGCTGGAGATATAGATCAACGAGTGGGCTGGAGATCTTAATGAGGGCGAGAGCAAAATATGAAACCTAGAGCAGGGAGTAAGAAAATAATAGTGAACTATATGCGGTAGAGAGGGTGAGCAAGAGATTTAGGAGCGTGTGCATGTGATTATGTGGAATGTGAGTGATCTTGGATGAGAAGGATCGTGTGAGGCTCGGCAAACACATACATGAACACTGCATGCAATTTTTGAGGAGGGCTACTACTGTGGACTTTGTGTGTAGCTCTTAAGCTTGTATGCATATAACTGAAATGGAAAAAGTGGTTTGTCTTGTTGGATTTGATGTGAATTTGACCCGTTAGGACTTATATTTCATATTTAATTATTCAACATTTAGAAAAAGTTAAACAGTTGCCCATATTGATTAGAAATTAATACGTCTAGTTCTTACCCATAGATTTGGTCATTAAACATGAATTAGGTTCATTAGACCTAAAATTAGATTAAACGGAATTAGTTTTCTTCAGGAATAATAATTAAATTTGATTTAAGAGTTAACTCTTAATTCGGTTAATTGTGAGCTAAGCAAACACATTAAGTATATTTTGCCCCAATTTTTGGGTGAACATATTTCATCCTTGTATATGATGATTGCTTTTAAGATTTTAGCTCTGCACGTTTCATGTTATTTAGTGGTGATTGACTCTAGTTTGTTTCATCATTAACTATTAAATTATTAGTTTTCAAAATTATTTGTATGATTAAAGTTTTCTTTAGCTTAGTGCTGACTCGTACTGGTTCTTATGAAATAACTCAGGCACAGGCAAATCGCAGTTCCTTAAGTTTGCTGCTAAATTATGCAACAGATCTGTGATCACCACTGGATTTGGGAGCACCAGTGCAGGCTTAACAGTCACAGCTGTCAAAGATGGAGGTTATTGCGTTTTCTATATATGTCTGAATCATGTAACACCAATTATCTTCAATATATTTTTTATCATGATTTTTCTTTTTATTAACCTTCTTACTTATCCTTCTATTCGGAACAGTTTGTTTATGAATGCACTTGGAACTTATAGTTATATTTTATTAAGTGCTTGAAATTTGCATTCCTGATATTTTTTAATTTAGGAGCATTTGCTTTGAGGCTTGCTTGTCAAATTTGCATTTAAATAGTTAATTTTTTGTATTTCTTTCTTTGTTAGATTGTAGAGTTCTGCTCCAAGACTTGTGTGATTGTGTAAGGTTCAAAGTATTTCTTTTACATTTATAGAGAATTTAATGTAAGAAAAATCATTAACAAAAATCCTCAACTTAGACAAGAATTAGGTTTAGTCCAAAGCGTAAAACCATCTAATGGAACTTGCTTGATGGTTTGTAGTTCTTCCGAAATTGATGTAGCATCCGATTGAAAAGATACAGGAGAAGATGTTTAGATATATGATGCTCCTCGAGAATATAAAGGTGCTGTAACGAGGCTCGTCTCTTTGAAAGCCAAATTATCATTCTTTCAATTAAGGGAAATGCGGTCTCCTTAACTGGGGGAATATGCCCCCCTTTTTTATTTGTTTTCTTTCGTTCTATTTTTCTCATTACTGTCTTTTATTTCTCCTTTGTTTAAATCTCTCTCTCTCTCTCTCTCTCTCTCTCTCTCTCTCTCTCTCTCTCTCTCTCTTCAGAAATGTTGCCAAAATATTCCCCAAAAATGATTCGAGTAGTCCTACAGAAACTCAAGAATCCAAAGAAATTCATAAAAATTCAAAAACTTCGTAAAAAGTTCAAATCCTATCATTAAACGTTTTGGTGGTCTATCTTGTTTGGTTGGGTTAAAATCAGCGGAAGGCCACAACTAACATGTTTTGATGTCATTCAAAAAGGTTTACGAAAACTATATTCAACACCTAAAACATGCCTAGATTGTAATATGTGGCAAAAATAAAATAAGCAATTATTTAGAGTCCACCTTTGATATTTTATCCTTCAATATTTTCAATATCTTTGAAGTTATTTGATAATTTATTCCTATCACACTGTAAAACGTCAAATGGCAGGAGAATGGGTACTGGAGGCTGGGGCCCTTGTTCTTGCTGATGGTGGGCTCTGCTGTATAGATGAATTCGACAGGTTCTATAATCATGCAGCTATTTCGTAATTTTTTTTACTTGAATGACCAAACCTTAAGATGCTTGATTTACTTTTTTTCTTTTTTTTTTCAAAGAGACTAGAATGAATTGTTATTCATGAATTTTTTTATTACGTGTATATCATAATGAAGTTGATGGCATAGCTATTTCATTATTACTCTCAAAATTATTGTTTTTCTTGTTAATGCTTGCTTATGACTAATATTTTATTCAACTAGCAACCCAAAAGATAATCTACTATACTATTAAAAATGGCTTGGGATTCTACTCAAAGAAAATATTGATTTTTAATTTTGGAAATAAAATCTAAGCCTTTGATTAATATCTCTATTTATACTAACATTAAAAAATATTGGCAAGTAAAAATTATAATTAGTTGATGTGTGTGTAAAACAATGCATTGAACTGAGACTTTCTAGAGAGAGAACATATGAGATTTTCTAGAGAGAGAAAACGAAAGTTTTTAAAATTCTGTTGAGGAATTTTTCGGCGGGTAATTGGATGGCGGCGGAAGCTCGCCGGACAGCCTCGACAGGTGGTGTAGGCGACGTCCGACGGCAAGCATCTGGTAACATTTCCATCCCAATCTGATCGCTGCCAGCATTTGGTGACGATGCGGTTGCTGGTGGATTTAATATCGCAGTACATGGGGCAAGGTTGAAGATGAAGAACAACAAAGGTCTGGTGATAATGAAGGTGGTCTGGTTTCTTCTAAGAAGATAATACCTTATATTGGAAAGGGGAAAGAAATTATTGTAGCAGCTTCAAATTTGATAAACATTCAATGAGAGCAGTGAATGTTAACCTGAATAATGAATCTCGTCGATCGTCTGTTGGCTTGAAGGAGGTGAATAATCCTAATATTCTGAATGAAGGGAGAGTTACGACTCATTTAAAGGAAATTGATTCTCAGGGTGAGATAGCTGATGTGGAGAAGATCTCTGTGGAAAATAATTATAAAGGCAATGACTCCATTACAGGTGGGCAGCAGGATCCATTGATTATTCTTGCAATTAATGGAGCTGATGACTTAAGCTTTATCAGGCTTTGTGAATCGGGGCAATAGAATGAAGACAAAATGTATGATGAATTGATTGTGAAGGTTAAAGAACCTTCTGGGAATAATGCTTGGCTGAAAAAGAAAACATCAGGGTATCCAATCTGGATTTTGGACTGCCTGTCGGAGTATGGATCTACAGTAAAACTGCATGTGCAAAAGGAGCAAGAAAATGCTAAAAATTTGAAGAATGCTTTAGTCATCAAGGTATTTGGTGATAATGTTCCTCTCTACGCAATCAGTGGAGAGCTAAGATGATAGTGGGCTCAATTCGAAAAATTCCATTTAACGGTGCTGGGAAATGGATGGACACTATGTGCTTTTGATGAAGAACAAGCCTTGGATTCAGTCCTTAACAGTGGACCGTGGTATGTTAAAGGGCATATTATGGGGATGGACAAATGGTCACCGAAGTTTTCACCTTCAACTTTGAAAGGATTAACAGCCCCTGTATGGATAAGAATGTCAAATCTCCCTCTACAATGTTTGGATGAAAGCAATGTATGTAGGATTGCTTGTAAAATTGGCATTCCATACTTAATTGATGGGAACATGTTCCAGTGGAGTAGACATGAATTTGCCCGAATCTGTGTCTGTATTGCATATACACTTGAAGATAAGCTGCCTCTTGGTGTTTGGGTAGAAGGTCTTGCAGGGAAGTTTTTTCAGAAAATAAAATATGAAAGAATGACCTCCTTATGCTATAACTGTGGTAGAGTTAGTCAAGAGAAGAACAAATGTCCTGAACTTATATCTGATGCTGTTAAAGGTTGATTGTGTCAATCCAGTGAAACCGATGGCAGAAGGTATCTCTAATATGAATCTTAAAACAACTGGTGATTGCAAGGAGAAGGTGGGTGATGATAAATATGGTCCTTGGATCCATGTGAATTATGGAAGAACAAGGAGATATAAAAATAACAGCAAATGGAAACCAGTGGTGCAAAACTCAAGTATTATGAAGAAACCAGTTTCTTCAAACAGATCTGATTTTATGAGTAATTCAACACTAACTGCTGGAAAGATGAAGGATCAAAGGGGTTTGGATGAACAAATTGTGGAAGATGAACACAATGTAGGTGCTGGTGGCACAGAAGTTATTTGTTCTCCTTCAAAGGTGGTTGGTGATGACTCTAGTTTGAGAATGAAGATATCACAGTGGATAAGCTGATGCGGAATGGTAATTGGAACATAGCTTGTCTTCAAATTTTATTTGGCCCTGAACTTGTGGAAGTTATCTTACAAATCAAAATAGTAGAAAATCTGGAACAAGATGAAATGGAATTGATTCATATGCATTCAGGGAAATCTGTCTTATTTAGTCACCGAGGAGTTAAATAACAATGGTAACATTGTTTATTGGAAGTGGATCAAGAAACTTAAGCTGATGCCGAAAGTTGAAGTATTCTGGTGGCGTGTATTCAACAAATCAATTCCAACATATCACTTTTTACATTCTAGGAAAATTCAAGAGAACTTGGGATGTCCTAGAGGATGTAATATGACAAAAGACATGGATCATGTTATTACGGGATGTGAGAAGCTGCATAATATCATTGGCATATTTAACAGTTGGGGATTTCAAATACCAACATTCATTAACCTGGAAGAATGTTGTAATTGGCTTGAAAGATCGACTAAGGATAGCAAATTCTTACCTAAAATGTATTGCAACACAGTTTACTTAATGTGGAAGGCAAGGAATAAGTTTATTCATGAAGGCCAGCTCAAAATTCATTGTGGTTCAAGCTGTCTCTTGGTCATCATTCTCTAATTCTTATGGCAACATAAACTCAGGCCAATGGGGTGTTAATCAGTCAAGGCGACTGTGTAATTGTTGGCACCCTCCCCCACCCGACTGGATCAAAGTGAATGTAGATGCTTCTTTACTTCTTACAAGGCGGGCATTGAAGGTTTTTTCTGATATAGTAACGGTAAATTCTTGATGGCTTTTGGGAAAAATTATGTTCATTGGGACATCTCACAACTAGAACTATCTTTTATTCTTCTAATAAAAGAAATTCTTGAAGATTGCATGCTTCAATACAAGGGAATTATCATTAAAAGAGATAACAATAATGTGATCCAATATATTCGACAAAGTATCAAATCGGGAGATAAAGTGATAGAAAATCTTGACTTTCTTAAAGAGTTTGAAAATGTTATTTTTAATTGTGTTGATAGAAATAGCAATAAGTTAGTGGATCTTTGTGCTAACTGTGCTATATTTAGTGATTTCATTTGGGATGATATTAGCTCTAATAAGGTTCCTCCTTTATTATTTAATTTGGCAAAGGAGGAACTAAGGGGGTGTAGTACCTAGGTTTTTATTTTGTTTGCTCTTTTACTTATTGCAATCAAATCCCTTATTGCTTCTTCTTCTTCTTCAAAAAAAAAGTAAAAATTATAATTGCAAAGACAAATAAAAATAATCACGACACAAGATATAAAGTGCAAGTAAAACAAGGAAAAGGAAAGCAATCAAAGATTTTCACCTTCTTACGTATTTGAACAGTAGCTCATTGTGGGAAATCACCAACCTACATCAGCTTTATTCCTCAATCAGTTTAGGATCTCACTACCACTGGCTATTGTTCAGATATTTAAAAAAAAGGGAAAAGAAAGCCCGCTTCGGTGAAAATGAACTGGCCAGCACGATCGTCACACATCGTTCCCGTTGCACTTGACATAACTACTTTTCAGTTAATATAAAACAATGAAGGAAAAAAGAAATGATGAAGGCCAACTTACATTCTTTTGAATTCCAGCAATAAACCTTGCCTTCAGCCGAATCTCCCACCTAAGCGAATCAACCGACTCCCTATTCTGAATCCCGCACCACCTCCCGATCATTCACACGAAAGAATCTAGGGAAGACTCTTGTCAGCCTCTCGTCTATGTGTACTAGAACCAACCGAATGATTGGTTCGATCCCTCATCTATCGTGCCCTACTCCTCATTCGGCATTACACACACTAACAGAGATCGGCCCGCACAACCCCTGTCGTTGTTCTGTCTGTGACCTGAGCCCAAGCGCGTGATGGCCCTATCGGATTCCGACTTTCGCTCTATATGCGATCTGAGCCCGAGTGGCCCCTTTCACTACCATCAACTATTCGCCTCCCTTTTCAAACAAATGAGCCCTATTGCTTTACCTCATGCTACCAAGGTCCGTTCGATCCCACTCCTATCTCCGGCCTAGCCAACCAAGCCTGATCCTTCTTCGTTCAAACTAGAAAAATTCACAGTAGGCCACCCGAGCAGGTTTCCTTCTCTTTGCGAACCAAACCAAACCAATCGGTTGTGCCTCCCTCCTAAATTTCAAGCCCGTTCTCTTTTTTGTTTGAAATAGTGAGGAGGAGAGATATGTTATACAATTATTATTATCATTAATAAAAAAATTTATTAATAATAATAACAATTATAATTAATAATATTAATAAAGTTAATAATAATTATAATTATAACAAAACTAGTACTATAAGCATAACACTAGTATGATAGAAAAAAAAAGAAAAAAAAAGAAAAAAAAAACTAGTATATATGTAAAAACAAGCAACGAAAATAAAGTGCTAAAAGTAAAAAAAAATGAAAACTACTGCAAGTAAAACTACTATTGCAAGTAAGACTAGTGCAGAAGCGAACAAGTAAGCAAAGCTACTACTGTGAGTTAGAAGTTACTATTGTAGACAATACACTAGTACAAATGTTGAGGTGTTGAAAAGCATCAAACTATGTATCTACTGGTAACCCCCCGCGCCTGCTCCGCCACTACCGCTAATATAAGTTCAGTTGGTAACTTGTAATAGAGGCCGTAAGACGTGCTATATGGGCTACTTCTAATAGAAACAGTCAGACTCACATGTTAGGAGAAATGTCTAGGTAAAAGTAACCTAACTCTATATCCCAATACACGAGCTACTTCCAATAGAAGCAATAAGACCTGCATGTTAGGAAAACTTCTAAGTGAACAACCCTAAACCTAACTTACAAGCTACTTCCAATGGAACCATAAGACATTATATACTTGCTAGTTCCAAGGGGGGGCATAAGATTCACTATACGGGCTACTTTCAATGAAAGCAAACCCAACTTCTCAAACTCACGAGCTACTTTCAATAAAAGCAGTAAGACCCAACTTCTCAAACTCATGGCCTTTCCAACATTTCTACCTTTCTTCCCGCCATAGGTACTCGGATCGTGCTCTGATACCAATTTGATAGGAAGTGGATGCACTTTCAGCAAAATCAAAAAACATTACAAAAATTTAGGAAGAACACAGAAAACTATTTTTATTGCAAGATATATGAATGAAAACAACACGATATAGTTAGATCTTCAATTGGAGAGAAAGATCCGGCTCTCCCAAATCCCTAGCCGGCAGCTAGAGACCTCGCAACCTAAGAAATTCTAATTTCAGCGAACTCCAAATATAATCCTGAAATCATCCTATTATTAGTCTTAAATAGGCTCTCATAATTCCCTCCCAATTATAATTAAAATGTTCCTAAATAATCCCCCTTAATTCCTCTTCTTCCCTAAATAATTCCCTCTTAGATTTTGAATTCAAATTAGATCTCTTGCCCTAAATAATTCCTTCCCAATTGTAATTAAAACATTCCTAAATAATTCCTCTTTGGTTAAGAACCTTTCTAAACAGCTCTCTCTTGATTAGAAAAATTCCTAATTCTCTATCAATCAAATTGGCCTGTCCATCATATTACTAACCATTACATTACATCACATTACAAAGTGCGATTAACAGTGTGCCATTAAGCAGTTTATGGCTACCCACAAACTTAACAAAGACTCGTTACAATTTTGTGGCTGTCCACCAATGACACGAGTGTTATGAATGTGGGTCGTTATACAAGGTCTTAACTACGATCAGTAAACTAGTTTGTGGTGACTCATGAACCTATATATAACAATTTGTTATGTTAATGTGGGGACTCGTGAACTTATATGCAACAATTTGTTATGTTAATTCAATAATTTTAGTTTCATGGATAACCTTCTAGTTGTTTTTTTTAACTTATATAACTATGAGTTGGAGCAAAATAGCATTTTTTGTTATTATGATAAAAGATTTTTTAATTTAATTTAGACATGCTTGGGCCAAGAGCCAGGGAACTTGATTGATATGCAATTATACGAGGAAGAAGCCAAACTGCAGTACTAAATCACATGTCTTCAATCTTTGTTGAGCTTGAGTTTTACCTCCATATCTTTTGTTACTAGATCCTCTCTCCAATTTGTACAATTTATCCAGCATAAACTTTGTACCTTATCAATCCACCCATCAATCATGTAATCACTTAATTTGAAATATTAATGCCTTCAATCATATGTTTGTTACAAAAACTAATTCATCACACCAATGGGTTCATGTATTCATTGTATTTTTAATATGATCTATTCTTAACTTCTAAATAATGTCCATTTTAAGTTTTGACTTATTTGCAGAATGTAATATTTCGTTAGTGTTTGCTGCGGATGAAATTTGATTTGTTAGTATTTAATCGAGCTAATCACTTATTAATTCAATTTATATTTGGCTAAATACGCCAAACGTTGTTTTGTTTCCTCCCATCGTTCTTTTCTTTATGATGGAGTGTCAATGAGGAAGCCTTCTTTGAAACTTGTGAGTTGTAACAGTTTTATTCATTTTTGTAGTATGAGAGTGCATGATAGAGCTACAATTCATGAAGCAATGGAACAACAGACAGTAAGTGTTGCAAAGGTGGTTTCTAATCTTTACCCGTTCATTTATGTACGAATTATACATAGATGAAAAATTTTATAACATAAATTATGATTAAAAAGTAAAACTTTCATCTTTTGATCTTCTTTTGTTAAGTTGTTACTCCTTTAAAGTATGCCATAAGGAATAATCCGAGGAAACTATGCTTGAACGTGAATATAATGAATTAATGAATTGTTAATCTTTGAAATAATGATTTTTTAAGGCTTTGTTGGATCTTTTTTTTTTTCAATTTGTTTTCGTCTTTTTTTTTTCTTTGGTTTTCTTTTAAGTTTACTAAAACATGTTTTTTATGTTGTACTATTTCTTGTATGTTATAAACAGAGAGCATGTTTGGGGATGAAAGATTAAAACGAAAGTAATCTATATTTAATTGGCACAAATTTTAGTATTTTATCCCAAATTAATTCCATCTAGATCCTAATTATCTTGATTAAATTTCCTTACGCCATAATTAATCTATGTTATCATCATATAATCACAAATTGAATATTAAATTTTAAGTCTAATTAATTTATCAGTTACTTAATGCATGTTTAATTGGCTGTCATAAATTTAATTGTTCTCTTAAGTAATTGTAATATGAATTAAATGCATAATTAATTCCTAATTAAGCATCATAATTTTTAATTATCAATACAGGTTGTCTAGTGTATCTTTCAAATATCTTCAATATCTTTATTATGCTTGCAGTCATACATCTGATAGAACTATAGAAGAAATTAATTTCACACCTTTTGATAAAAACTGTAGATATCTTTGCACTATTTCATTTTTTTTTTCCGACAGAATTGACTGATTGAACTTATACAATGTTCGAGAATATAACTTCTTTCCATTTGATTTTATAACAATCAAAAACCAATTCTGTATCAATGATTTAGGTTTTAGTATGTCATACCAAACCATGTTCCGAAATAGCATAATGGAAGTGGCATCACCCATGTGCATGTGAGATTTCATATTTAAATGATACCATTGATGCAGCTTATTATACCATGATAGCATACTTACTGTAGTCTGCCTATCTAGGGACTTCAAGAATCCCCTTTATTCTTAGGACTTGAACTGCGAAGATTTGCTGAGAATCCACTAATGCAGTTGCTTGCTTTATGAATTTGATCATTAGATTCACATGAGCGCCAAAAATTTTGAAATAAGTGTCTAGGCTTAAGTAGTTGAAATATGTCACCATCTATAAATCCCAAACAAATTTTAAAGGAAAATAGCATGTAAAGGGACTTTTTCCTGATATTGAATAAAGCAATTTCTATGCCTTAACTGGGGTATCTATGATACATCTAGCTCACGAACTATGGACAATATACAATGCTTATAAAAGGCTGTAGGTTTTCTTTCTTATGGCTTTTTGTATTCTGTTATATGCTGAGCATGGATGTCAGCAGCGGCTTAGTCTTAATAAGGAAGCTTTAATTTTGCATTCACGAATATGATTATCCTGCAACAGAGATGAGAATGATATGGGATTTTGGATAAAACCGGAAAAAATAAAGTGGAAAATGACTAATTGTCTAAAAATCATGATGACAAGGAATAATCATAAATTGAGAAGATTGGGAGGTGTATTAGTAAAAGGAAGAGGGTCTATGTTTCTTTCACATTCTTTCCTTTTTTTTTGTAACCTATGTGTGTGATTCTTATATGAAATCTAACAATTTATCTATGATCTGTTTTTCAGGCTGGCCTTGTGACAACTCTTAGCACTCACACTATTGTACTTGGTGCAACTAATCCTAAAGGGCAGTATGATCCAGATCAATGTATGCAATATTCTTTTAAAGTCTCACCTATCCTTAAAAATGACTTCATTTTGCTAAGATAACAGTAGCTTTGTCACGTGAATACGAATGTGACTTTTATCCAGCTTAACTATAAAGTACCTCTGGCTTGTTTTATTTCTAGAATTCCCACCATCTCCATTCATAATTCATACTAATATAGAATGTTGCATGGTAAAAGGTGGTGATGTCTTGGTATAGAAAACAAAATTAGGCTGTAATTTGGCATATGAAGCAATACTTTTTTTAGCAGCTTTCAAAGTTAGGCTTTAGTGAGAATACGATTGACTTTAATGACCTTAACACCCTCAATAAAAGTATATATTTTTATCTTTTATCATCGTATTAGTAAAACTAAAGTTAGAGAGGCTTTAAAGAAAATAAAATGTGGAAAAGCTGTTGACCTGATGATATTCCAATATAAGTGTGGAAATACTTAGGAGATGAATGAATTTGTAGGGTTACGAAGCTTTTCAATATTTTCTTAAGACTAAAAAGATGTCCGTTGAGTTGAGAAAGAGTGTGTCGATTCATATTTTTAAGAATAAAGGTGATACACAAGAGCATGCGAATTATAGAGGAATTAAGTTAATGTGTCATACACTAAAATTATGGGAGTTTTTGAGCATAGGTTATGAAGTGATAATGATGTTTCTCAATATCATTTTGGATTCATGCCTGGTAGGTCTACTATGGAAGCTATACATTTATTGAGAGGTTTGATGGAGAAGTATAGAGAGAATAAGTAGGATCTATATATGATATTTATTGATTTAGAGAAAACATATGATAAAGTTCCAAGAGAAGTGCTTTAGAGAGTTCTAGAAAAGAAAAGAGTTAATAATGCTTATATTCAAGTCATTAAGGATATATATGTAGGAGTTGTTACTTGTGCTCAAACACAAGGTGGTTTGACTAGGTATTTTCCTATATCAGTTGAATTACATCGTGGATTAGCTTTAAACCCATATCTTTTTACTTTAGTCATGGATGTTCTCACTAGACATTTGTAAGAGGATTTAAACTGGTGTATGCTTTTTACTGATGATATTCTTCTTGTTGAAGAAAAACTTGAATGAGAATTTTACACTTAATAGAAAACAATGGAGACAAAGGACTCATGTAGCCGACCTCACGTAGTGGGATAAAAGCTTGATGACATTGATGTTGTTTTCAAAATTAGGCTGTGATGATTTGGCAGAGAAAACAAAGAGCAAAAACTTCTCATATTTTGACCTTTTGAAATGTGTTATACCATTATGTTTTTCTTTTTTTCATGAAATCCTCATTATGTCAAAAAGGAATAGTTAGTTACCAATACTACTTTTAAATGAAAGGATAAGATTGGTACTTATGCTTTCTTGCCAATATTTTCTTCTCACATGTGTAATCTATGGTGCCTTTTTGTAACAATCCAAGTTCTTAATTATTGAAATATTGTCCATTTTGGCCTAATAACCTCATGATTTTGTCTCATTAGGATAAGTTCCTAGGAGGTCACCCATCCTAGAAGTACTCTTACGAGCACACTTAACTTTGATGTTTCTAATGAACTTCCAACCGTTACATTAAAAGGTATCTCGATATGTAAGAGTTTAATTTTTTTTTTTTTACTTAAGGGGCTTCACAATATCCCCACTTAAGTAACTTGCATCGTCATCAGTATTCTTATCCCAGAATCATCCACAAAGTAGATATGATTCTAGAGGAGGCCCCTACAAGTTCAAGTGGTGGCTTCCACCGTGTAGCACTTTGTCTCATATAAGGTTAAAAGAGGTGCCCCCCATGCTGTAGCACTTTGTTATGTATGAAACATAATTCTAATCTTCCGGGTAGTGCATTACTTTTATATCACCCTGTAATAGCCCAAACTCTTAACTATCAATATATTGTCCGTTTTGACCTAATGGCCTTACAGTCTTGTCTAGGAGGTTACTAATCCTAGGAGTATACTCTTTTACGAGCACACTTGATATTTCTAATGAACTATCAACCCTTACACTATAAGGCACCTTAATGTTTAAAAGTTTAACTTCATTTTACTTATGAGGCTTCACACTATATCTGAACGAACAACACCTAAATCTTTTTTTAATGTATTTTAGGAATAATATATTTCTTTAGGACTATGCTGCAAACATCATTTCAAATGAATTAAATTTTGTAAAAGAAAATCATTAAATTTGACATAATTCAATTTATATATTATGCTATGTGGTCCATGATTTATGCCACCACAGAATATTTTTTTTTACGATAATTTTTAAATAGTTTAACCGCTATTTTGAAAATCGGACCGGACTGGCCGGTTTAACCAGTTCAATCGTGAACCAGTTTAGACGTCGGTCCGATCAAGCTTCAAAACTAGCTCTGCATCGAACCTGATCAAACCGGATTGAACCAGCGGTTCAACCGGTGAACCGGTCCGGGTTGGAAGAACCGGCCTGTTTATAAAAATATTTTATTTTTTTAAATTAAAATTTTAAAAATATATTTTAGTTTATTAAATTTTTTAAACTTTTTAAAATTTTTTTATTAAATATGATGATTAATTTCACCATAATACATGCAAGTTATCTTAAATAACTCGCATAATTTATTTTGCAAAAAGAGTGTACTTCTCACTTTATAAAGGGTTCAAAAAAATATCCTCAAACTCCCCCTATGATGTGGGACTAAAAAAAGTTGCATGAATAATTTAGAATGTGAATTTGAGCTTATTTGGGCTAGTTGGGCTTCAAATTTTTGCTTGTTGGGCTACAAATTTAGATAATATGTATTATAAATTTGCTATAATATATATTATAATTATTATATTATAAAATATTAATATTATAAATTTATATATTATATTAAATATTATTCTTATAAATATATTTAATTATAAATATATAAATATATTTTTTAAAATGATATTTCTATTTATAATTTTGTATTATATATATTTTTAAATTTATAAATATTATTAAATGGTCATATATTAACACTACTGTTGCCAGGTCCCAAGTTCTAGATGAGAAAAGTGAAGAGTTGTGTTAGGTAGTCGATAGTCAGCGTATAACTTGTCGAATAATAATGACATGAATCCTTTAAGAAATTGTGTTAATGCTAGGGCATCCCCTCGAAGCGACGCGCTGTACGACCTAAATACAGTGACAAGTGTGCAAGGGCCGCTGCACCGACGCCTCTGTGCAATGTTAAATAAGCAAGGGTTCTCACATCAAGGACGGATGTGGGCAAAAAAGCTAGTCCATAAAACTAAAATTAGGATAGAAACTTGGAATATAGGTTCCCTTAGAAGAAAATTAATGGAATTACTAGATATTATGATTCATAGGTAGATAAATATTTTGTGTATTCAGGAAACTAAATGGGTTGGAGAGAAGGCTAAGGAAATTGATATGTTAGGATTTAAACTTTGGTATTTGGGTAGGAGTCGTACTAGAAATGGTGTAGGTATTATTATAGATAAGAGTTTGAAAGATAATGTTATAAAAATTAATAGGATTAGAGATAGAATTATAGCTTTAAAGATTGTTGTTGCTGATAAGATTATTAATATTATAAGTGCTTATGCTCCTCAAATAGGTTTGGATTTGAGTTCTAAATTAAACTTTTGTAATTACTTAGAAGAATTATTATAAAAGATACCTTTAGATGAAAGAGTTTTCATTGGAGGAGATTTAAATGGACATGTTGGTAGAGAGGTGCATGATTTTAAAGGCATTCATGGTGGCTATGGTTTTGGAACAACAAATGAAGGTGGTAAGACCATATTAGACTTTTGTTTAACTTATGATTTTTCAATTGCTAATACCTTATTTAAGAAAAGAATTGAGCATCTCATCACTTATAAAAATTGATATAGTACAATCCAGATTGACTATTTTCTTATAAGAAAATTAGATCGTTTAGATTGCAAAGATTGTAAAGTTATTCCGAGTGAAAATTTATGTACCCAATATTGATTATTAGTTTTGGACTTTAAGATAAAGGGACAGATAATAAAAAATAAAGCAAAACGATATTCTAGGGTTAGATGAGGGCATTTAAAAAATATTAACAAAAATATTTTTGAGAGTAAGATTTTAAATCTTAAGATTTTATCTGTGCTTGAGGATGCTAATACTATGTGGGAAAAAGTGGCTAATGATATTATGAATATTGCAAAAGATGTGCTTGGAGAATCAAAGGGAAAAGCTCCTAATAGTAAAAATAGTTGGTGGTGGAATCCAAATGTGCAAGAAAAGATTAAGAATAAGAAGATTTGGTATAAATATTGGTTTAATTTTAAAAAATCTGATAATTGGGAAAGATAAAAAGAGGCTCGTTGGGAATCTAAGAAAGCAATATGCGTGCAAAGACCTTAGCTTTTAGTGATTTATATAATAGATTAGATACTAAAGATGGAGAAAGATATATGTATAAGTTAGCCAAGCAAAAAGAGGAGTAGTAGGGATTTAGTTCAAGTGAAGTGTATTAAGGATGAAGATGAAAAAATACTTTTCTTAGAAGATGATATTCAACAAAGGTGGATGAGATATTTTGCTTAACTTTTTAATGAAAATTGTGAAAATAAGATTGGCTATAGTGACCTTAGCACTCTAAAAGAAAATAAATATTTCTGTTTTTATTGGCGTATTAATAAAACCGAAGTTAGAGGCGTATTAATAAAGCTTTCTAAGCTGTCTACTTCTTCTTGGCACCCTCCTCCACCCGAGTGGATTAAAGGTAACTTTGATGCTACTCTCTTAAACTCTAATAAAGCCGGAATTGCAGGGGTTTTTAGAGACCCTAAAGGAAGGTTTCTTTTTGCTTTTGGTATCAAATGTGTACATTGGGACATTGGTTTTTTGGAGCTTATGGCTATACGGGCTTTGAAATTCTTTCATCATAATTGGAACTTTGAAGCTAAAGGGATTATTATTAAAGGGGATAATCATAATGTCATCAAATATCTTCAAAATTCTCTGAATAAAGTT